TCTCTTCAGTTGATGAGATGAAGAGCCAGCAGACTTGAAACTGGGGATTTGAAGCAAAAATCAGCAAACTTTATTTCCAGATTTTAACGGATTTGTCGTGACTGGTAGAGGCGACCATTCCTGTGACTGGTGACTGTGCTAAAGCTGATATTACACCCTCATGAGCCTGAATGGTCATACACTTATTCTCAGCCATGTTCCAAAGCTCCAATGACTGCAAGCAAATTTAAAGGAAAAAGCAGCATTAGCATCCTAGAACATACATCAGAAAAAGAAAACTCAGTCTCAATGGTTTACAGAACGGATGTTCTCTCAAGTTGCATTTGGAAGAGGATAAGAAAGTCCACTCTATTTTACATAGCATTTGGCCAACAGATCACTATGGAATTGTTCTATTTCCATGTGATGTCTTGATGCAATAAATTGTGGCCAAACAACCTACAAGAGTTGATTTTTATTTCTAAGTGGCCACTGACCAGGCAGTTCTGAGAAAATAATATTCTAAATATTTCAAACGTAACAGAATTCGTGTGCAATCCAATTTTTCGTTTCACGTCACCAAAACAAAGCAAAGTTTACCTGGTAGCCTCCAATGACCAAGAGAGTGGAGTAGCTTGGATGGAAAACACAAGTTTGGAACATGTTTCCACTGGGACTGAGTTCATGAATGCACTCTCCAGAGGATAATGACCACACTCTGACAGACTCTTGACTGACAGATGCCAAATAATCTCCATTTGTATCCCAGCAAAGAGAGTGTACCTCTGTGGAGTGACCCTGAGATTCAAAACATCGTGCTTTCAGATCAGTAATATATCAAAACATAACATACTTTTCAGACTTGATTGATTAATGAAACCTTTAAGTTTCATTGAAATTAACAATTGCCAATCATACCTGCAATGAATGTGTCTGCCTGTCACTCTCAGCATCAAATATAGACACAACATTTCCAGATGCAGCAGCAAGAAACTGTCCAATTCTCGGCTGGAATCTCACCTGTGCTGAGCCTCCCTGGATCATTAAATGACTGATATTTAGAACAGAAAATAAACAAAAATTAATCAAGAACTTCAAACAACTAAAGGAGAGTCCCAATACTAACCTTAGAAACGCGAGTGCAAGAATACTGATTGATATTCCAAAAGCGAATCTCATTGTTAGCATCACAGGAGCAGAAAAGGTCATTCTTCTTAGGATGGAAATCAAGTGACATTACATGCGAGGTATGCCCTGCATATGTCTGTAAAGAATAGTTTGGCTGCAAAAATGAACTCAACC